TGTATTCACTTGAGGACCAGGGCAAAAATTGATGTTTACTTATATCAAATTACACTAAAATAAAATTAGTTAAGTTTGAGAATAAAAAGGTTTTGGTATCAAGATAACCATTACCTCCACACCTTTGCACCTCTACCCCCCACCTTCCTTATCTTGGGTTTTTCCTTCCTTGAGAGAATAAAGAAATAAATCTATTCCAAAGACAGCAGCTATTCCAATATTTTCATTTGCGTCTTTTGATCCTTGTTGAGTTCTTGATGCTTTTCTTTAAAATTTAAATTCATGAGAATAGTAATTACTCAATTTATATTCTTAATAAACACATGTACAAACTCATGGAAACTCTTGACTGTCAATTTGATTTTCCTCATTTAATTAAAAAATGACCTCAACCCTTCAAAAGTCATCAATTCTGAATTTTTATATGGAGTACCTACCAAGATTCATGAACTTCTTGTTTTTTTTTTGTTTTTTTTTTGTTTTTTTTTGTTTTTTTTTGTTTTTTTTTTTTTTTTCTCTTAGTGAAAGGAAAAAGAGAAAAAGAATAATATGTAGCAGCTTAAGTTCTTTGACTTGGCTAGATAACATTGGCTGACTAAAGTATACTACAATTACAACTTAGAAGTGAGAAGTGCAATTAGCAGTTTGGAGTGTTGAAGATCCTTTTGTTTTTTTCATTAACAAGTTCTATCATTTGAATCCTGAGATAGGTCAGCAGGTTTTCTACTTTTTATACACATAGTCACATCTCCATATGATATTGGCCCTTCCTAGTTTTTTCAATCCTTGAATCCATTTGGTCACTTGATAAGATATTCTAGCTTTTTAGACACTTATTATCAGCTACAATTTAATATTTTTATTAAAAAAAAAACCCTCAAATTAAGTGTTAACAAGGTAGCCATGTGCACTTGTGATCGGTTTGGTTTGCTTACAACTCTTAAGTTCGTTGAAGCAATTTAACGGTTTTTTCTTCAGACCCACATCAATTTAAGCATTAACAAGAGGACCTTGATTGTCTTCTTGATTTTGACACTTCTCTAGTGGTTTTTTCTCTTTTTTGTTCAAACCTACACCACCACCCTACTTAGAATCTCATTTGTGAGCCTATGCCACGAATGCCATTGCCAACCACTGCCACACTCTCTTACACGTATTTGAGGAGGGTATCTTTTTGTTTTTTGCTTAGGTCTATCTTTCCAATGGTCCAATTGCCTCACCGCCAAAATCAGAATGCACCCCATCCGTCAGTGATTTTATATTGGTACAAGTCTTGTTGTCTTTCACTGGTTGTCTACAACAATTGAAAACCCTTTTTTTCTACACATTGCAATGGTCTCTACTACTCCAACCTTTACTTCCTTGCCATCACCATGGATAAATCAACATGAGTCAATAATTATCCATCTTGGGTGACCTCTGTAAAACTTTTGTTCAAAGGTTAAGGTATGTCCAATCACTTAACGATAAAGTTAAAGGATGTTGTTGAGAACAATGGCGAGTTGGAGAAGATGGATGCCTTGCTATGTAAAATGTTATGCTAGTCTATTGACACTGAACTTTACATTTTTACAACATATACAAGGCTTACGAATTGTTTATTGAAGTTTGGGAAAAGGTGGATCTACATTTGAGGTTCTTTCTAACTCACCTAGGTCATCTACTCTTTCATGGATCAGCAACTTCCATTGCAGTCTAAGATTGTTCCTACTAAGGCACCTATTGCCCCTTGGAAAAGTATTCACTCTATTGAGTCTACTCGTAATCCTCATCCCATGTATGCTAGTAATTATTGTGTTTCTTCACCATGTTATGCCTTTCTCTTGTAGCTATCCATTGTCTCTATCTTAAAATCATCTATGAGGTTCTTATAGATCTAGGATGGTGCCAATCTATGTTGACGGAGATGGAGGCCCTGCACTATAGTGGCATTGGAGAGTTAGTACCTCTCCCCTGGTAAAACTGTTGCTGATTATAGGTGGATCTATACTGTGAATGTTGGGTCAGATTGTAGGATTGCATGGCTGAAGGCATAACTAGTTGGTAAAGTGTAGGCTTAGATTTTTGGCTTGGACTACATCGACACATACTCTCTGGTGGCTAAGACTACATTTGTTCGCTTGGTCTTGTCTACGACTGCTATGAGTTATTGCCCCTACATCAGATGGATTTCAAGGATTCTTTCCTTCATGAAGATCTTCAAGAGGAGGTCTATATGTAGCAATCTCCACTGGCTTGGTTTGGGTGGATTAATTTTTTGTTGTTTGTGAATTTGGTATGATCCATGGATAGGTTGCTTACTTTGTACTTCTATTGGCAATCAAATAGTAAATGCATATGTCATGTGGTTTATGGGGATGGCGTTGTAATTACTGGTAGCGACCAAGAGGGCATTTCTCAATTAATAGATTATCTTTTTAATCAATTCTAGACTAAGGATTTGGTTAAGTTAAAATACTTCCTCAGTATTGACGTGACCCAATCCAACAATGGTATAGTTATCTCAGACTCACTAGTAATATGTGCGATTATTCATGTGTCCTATGTATACGGTGAATTAGCTATTGCTAGTTAAATTGTTCAGGCTATATGCTTGTAATATGTGTGATTATTCATGTGTTCTAGGTATATGATGAATTGGCTTTTGCAAGTTAATTTTCAATGATGAATTACTTTTTCTATTTCAATGATTTATTTCCCTAATATTTTGTCATGATTTACTCCACTGCAGTATGGGTGCTTTTCTTCTCAGTGCTGGCACCAAAGGTAGATCAATTTCATCCCTTGGATAAAATCTCTCCTCAAAACGCCAAAAATGTTTTTTGCAAGGTGATAATATTTTCTTACCATATTTCTTTACTTCTGCTATTTAATGAAGGGAAAAGATACAGCTTGCCAAACTCGAGGATAATGATTCACCAGCCTCTTGGTGGTGCACAAGGTTCACAATCTGATTTAGAGATACAGGTAACCTCCTCTTCTGGCTCTATCTTCTAAGGTGCCTTAGCTGCTTTGTATCCTACATTACTGAGGATTCGGACTGTCAGTTAACCCTACAAGAAGCATATGGTTTTGTAAAACTTTTGGAAAATTTAAGGGTCAAACATTTATAGAACAGTGACGATGAAAACTTGATGTTCTTTTCAGGGTAATGAGATGCTTCATCATAAAGCTAATCTGAATGGGTATCTTGCATACCATACTGGTCAGAGCCTCGAAAGGATTAATCAAGACACAGATCGAGATTACTTCATGAGTGCAAAGGAAGCTAAAGATTATGGGCTCATAGATGGTGTCATCATGAATCCAATGAAAGCCCTTCAACCACTTCCTGCAGCTTAATTCTTGCCCGTTGTGCATCATACCGTTGTCACGTGCCTACAACCCAATGGGATCGCGGTTCCTTAACAGGCTTGATATGGTGCCAGTTTAGATTACAGTGGGAATGATGATTGTACACAGATTTTAGCATCAAAATTTTCTTACTCCACTAAATAGGAATATTCTGCAAACCTGAGTATTTTGTGTACTTGACTTGCGGTTTCCATTTTGACAATCTAGTTGTTACTAGTCTCTTGTTTTCTTGAACCATGATAATTCTATCCATCATATTGGACAGTGCTTACTGTTTCTAATGTCCAAGTAGATTGTGTTGAGTTTTGACTCATGTGATGGGGTGAGATAGTGAGTCAATTATAACACATGAAGAATGTTCCTAGTACTATATCTGTTTTTATAGGCATGACAGTTACTATTATCTGTTGAGATAAAGATAAAATTAAAAATGACTCTTGAATTATGGTGATATAGTTTATTTTCTATCTCAAATATAGTATAGGTAATTTTTCCTTTCCCTTTAATTATGAAAGAGTTAATAACCAAAATGGTTCCTCGACTATGCTATAATTATCAATTTGGTCCTCGACTACCATTCTTATCTAATTAAGTCCTTAACTATGCAATTTTTACCCAATTTAGTCATCGTTTTCTCCTTCCTCATTTAGCAACCAAACCATGCAGCAATAAGCAGTTCGAAGCAGTGGTTGTGCATTGGAGAGCCGATGGATTTAATTTTCAGCGATTATTTGACGGTCGAAAGCTGATCGGACAGTCAACAAACAATCAAATTAACAGATGACTAAATTGGGTAAAAATTGCATAGTTGAGGACTTAATTGGGTAAGAATGGTAGTTGAGAACCAAATTAGTAATTACGGCATAGTCGAGTGACCATTTTGGTTATTAACTGATTATGAAATTACATAAAAGTTCTTAAAATTTTCATATTGCTGGATTAGATAAATTAGTGTGGGCATTCGAATCCAACTGGGAACTTGGGGTTATTGAGAGACGTTGACCGATCAATAATGAAGGTATCTTGTGCGTAGAGTATACGAGCAAGGGGTGGGAACCTAAAGACTAACGAGGCAAGGAGTGGGAACCTAGGGATTGATGGAGCAACTCATAATTTACCTTCCCCAGCAGCGGTGATGAAAGTCTCTTGTGCAGAGTATACGAGTAAGGGGTAGAATCTGGGGCCTAAAAGGGGCAAGGGGTGGAACATGCGAACTAACGAGGACAAAGGGCAAGGGGTGGGAACCTGGAGACTAACGGGGGACTCGCGATTTACCATCTACAATGACTCTTGGGCATAAATTCTAAGGACTTAGGATTAGTTTGGCGTAAGCTAGGAAACTTGTGTATCAAAAATAAAATTAATTACATGTTATATTACTATAATTTAGGGAATTAAAATTGTCATTTTTTTTTGAATGCTACCGACTCTATTGTCATAATTTTAAAAAGAGTATCATCTCCCAGATGATGTAATTGAAATAGCAATCTAATCAGCTAACAATCCTCCCTGCCCCTCAATTTTGTTCCTTGTTTTAAGGAGAGGAAGAACCGTATGAGTTTCTCAAGATCTGGATTTGTTACAACAAAACTGAGATGGGGCCTACTATAAATAAAAGAGTCATAATGTGAAGAGGTAACTAATTCATCCACACTCTTTCTCTAACTGCTTCTTCTCTTAGCTTCCACTTGCCATTTCCACATTACCATCATTCATTCAGGTACACACTTATGTGAAATTTCTTGTTGCAATTTTGTAATTACTTCTTAGTGAAATAGTGGTGTTTCCTGTGTAATTTTGATATATGATTTGCTTTTCTCATTTTTCTTTATATTTAAACATCTTTTATAAAATCTTAATTTGACATTATTGTTGATCTCCACTTTTTTTTTGTTTATCAATCGGTATATTGTATTTAGTGTCGCAATGGGTAGGGTTCCCCATCTAGAGCTGGGAAGTCCGATGTTTTACAGGGAACTGGTGGCGGGATTCGCCCTAGGTCTTTGTGCTGCCTTTACCTGGAAGAAAGAGCACAAGGACATGCAGAAGAAAACTAAGTCCATCTATCAGCAGCTCGACACTGGTGAAATTTCTGTTGTTGCTCAAGACTACTAGTGTGACTTTTTTATTTTTTTTTTTCATTTCATCACTGCATTTTATAGTTTATTTATTTCTTTATTCCAAGATAATAATAATAATAATAAGCAAGCATGGGTTTTGCTTGGAAAAATTTTAATGAATTCTTTAGTGCTATAAGAATGCAGTGAGTTATATGTAATTTGGTCTCTCTTTTCAACCCCCTTTGTTGTGGGTAATTTATGCATTAGTAACATGAAATCCACTTTATTCTTCTCCCAAAAGGTTGAATCCCCAATCCCAATGGGCCCCACACCCTGGCCTGACCCAGTAATTCAGTGGCTCTGGCTCGACAGACAGAACCGAGCACAAGGAATCTCCACTTTGGGCATAATTCACACATTGTCGCGGCCAAGTGAGTTTGGAATCTTAGTCTCTTGTCCCAAATACTGCGTACTGAATCGGTGAGCTAAACCCAATTGTTAAATGGACCAAATATTTTACTATCTACTATAATTTTACCCAATTGAACTTGAGAATGCCTATAAGATGTGGTGTCCCCCCTAACTAGAAATTTTCAAAAGAAAAATCAACTCAAAAGCAGAGGGAGTAACACAATTGGTGTCACTGGACAGCAAATTCTTCAAGAATAGCAAATAGAGGGGTTGCAGCTTTATAGGTATGCCACCATTCAAAAGAAAGTTGTGTATTAACATTGTCCTCGGGTTCATTGATTTTTACCTCGTACACAAATGTGACATTATGAGTGTAATATGAAAACATATGAAACTGTTCTTTTACAAGGGGGCACAGCGTGATTCAAAGTGTGTACAAATAACCAGACAACAAAGAGCAGGTCTATGGTGAATAATACGTAGATATCTTAAAGTAGTCAAGGTTTGAGGGCATTGGTGTTTACCTGACTTATAACTCTTCACTGGCTGATGACTCTTCAGAAGCTTCTGAGCCCACTTCTGTAGGTGTTTCGTCATTGTTCAAGTTTTCAAGAATTTCAGATGCAGTGTCATAAACTTGTTTAAGAACCTCAGCTCCATCTGGAGGTGTTTCATTGTTATTGAAATCTTCAATAATCTGAGACGCAGTCTCGTAAACTTGTTTGATAACCTCAACTGAAGAAGTTGCACTGGCTTCAGTTTCCTTTGATTCAGATGCAGGAGTTTCATATACTGGTTCACTGGCTTCCGGTTCCTTCAGATTGAGAGCCTCAAGAACATATTCCATTCCATGTACCAAATCATAAAGCATCAGGCCAACTCTCCCTCCAACCCAACTACCCAGCTCACTTCCAACCAAATAGCCAATCCTTCCTAAGCTCTGCTCCCCTAGAAAGCCAACATAATAAGTGCCAACCAACGTTCCCGAGCTCCTTAGGAATGCTTCGGTCATTGTACCCCCTAAGTAAAGCGCTTCAAAAAAATCCCATCCCGAAGAAATGATAGGACCAATAACTCGCTTGGCTTGTCGTTTTGCCAGTTTGGCAGCTTTCGCTCCTTCTTTCTGAGCTAGTTTAGCTGCTTCCTTCGCAACCATGCCTTGGGATATGGCATCAGCCAGAGCACTTTCAATTGCGAGATTCCTCGCTCTCTCAATGTGAGAGCCTCTGATATTATAAAAGTACAGCTTTACACCCTCCTTGACAACACATGCTAAGGTTCCGGTGCCCCCATCTAAGCAGTTCAAGATATTAAAGTCCCCACTTTTGGACGCAGCCTCTTTACCAACTACTTCCCTACATTTTTCAGCTGTGAAACAAACAAAAGGCAGAAGGTATTTAAAAAACGGAAATGAACAAGTGCAAAGTTAGAAATCAAACTCCAGATAGAGAACTGGCATTCAATATTTACTATTTTTGCTACAAACTAATGACGAGCGTTACCTATTGTAGAATTCCTCCTCGTTTCTAAAAGTTTTCATCATCAAAAGACCGTGGAACATATTTAAGGACTTTCTTGTATTTGCATCACGAATTTCATGAGTGCAGTGAAATAACAAAAAGACACCAATACATTCAACTATGACCTATTGAGCAAGATTCACTTCTAACATCAATAAATGCTCATTTCTTACCCTAACATTGAAACCTTAGGCCCTAGAATGGTTTTATCAAAAAACATTTTCAGTCAATATTCTTGCACTTCTATAAATTCACAGGTTCTCACCTACCATATTGTTATTAGGTTTTAGTCTTTTAGAGTATATGTTAGCTTTGAATAATTATAAAGTATGCAAAAAAAAAAAAAAAAAAAAAAAAATGAACTTGAGCTTTCATTTAGAACTTCACTTTTCAAAAGAAAAGATTGTGACTACTCAAGTTTCTCTACTGTGAGATGAAAATCAGGAAAGACTTGTTTCTGTTCTTAAAGAGGGATTCACAAAACAATTCGGTATGATATGTCCTGCGTCTAAAATTTCGAGCGATTTTCAACTGATATTCACCTGAAAAATGCTAAAGTCGATCTATCTAGTCCTAAGTCCTAATGCTACTCATCTCAAAATAAATCTGGAAATTTTGCGAAGATAAAAGCAAGGTTTTACCGGTGATACTGAGAACAGCGATGACAACCACGGCGATGAGGAACTGAACCCTCTTCTTCTCGATCATTCTTGCCTTCAATTCACCACTTCTAACTGTTAAATGAACTCCTAATATTCAAATCTCAAGTCTTTAATGCGCAACATTCAGTTATAGACTTCCATGGCGAACTTAATAATAGAGAAAAGTAAAAGTCCATTCCGATTTATAAGTTGATAACGGTTTTTGTTTTCCATTTTTTATTTTTATTTTCTTCTTATCTTGTCTATACTCCCTCCTTGTCCTCTTGTCTCCTGACCAAACACAATTTTAGAAATGTATTGTACGGAGTATGTTGAATAATAATATTAACTAGACTCAATAAAAAGAAAATGATTTATACTACATCCACTTTCAATTTTTACAACTTCACTTTTATTTCTTGATGTAACAAAAGATAAGAGTAATATCAATAATTAAAATTTTTTTCATCAATTTTTTGTGGACACAATCATTCATCATTCTCCCCATTAATTTTAAATTTTTTCATCAATTTTTTGTGGACCTATCGACACACTATTTTACTCTAATATATATTTTTTAATTATTTCTTTATTTATTATCATTATAAAAATTGTAATTACAATTAATATTTTTATTATATTTAAATTAATCATGTCAAAATTAAAACAAATATATAATTATAAAATTTCAATTCAATGGTATCAAAATTATATATTATATATTACATTTATATTGCATAAATTTTTGAAAATTTAACAACAAAATTAAATTTGAAAATGTTTTAATAATTTTTTTAAAAAGAGAGAGCCAAAAAAAAAAACAAAAACAAAAAAAAAAACAAAACAAAACAAACAAACAAACAAACAAACAAAGACAACCATTTCTGAAATGACCCTTGCGGACGCGTTTAAGACACGTGCCCGCTAGTTGGCTCGTGGGAGGTAGACGCGAGTCTGCCTCCTTTAAAGAAAAAAAAATCTCTTAATAGGAAAATTCAATGATTAAGAAAATATTTGGAAACCTTAAACTTTTCTAATAAAGATTAGAAAATATTTATGTATTGTGGTTTAATAAGAAATTGGTTCCTAATTTGCTTGGATGAACAAATTGAAATTTGAAAAGAATTAAAAGTCTTGAAGTTGAGGAAGGTTCAACATAAAAATTGGAAAATGGAAATCATCAAAAGGAGATTAGAAAGCAAGACATGGAATTAGTTAAGTAGCCAAACCATGCATTTTCGTAGGAATTGACCATTGTGTAGTATTTTAGGCATATCTTTGTTTACACTAGGACTATGTGGTCTAATGGTATCCGAGTTGAACTTCCATTTGGAAGGTTATGAGTTCGAGCCTCAGTGTGGAGGTGTTATTATTGGCTCTTTGTGTTTCAGTAGGACAAATATTACAATGTAATAGAGCTAGTAGCATTCAAAAAAAAAAAGGCATATCTTTGTTTACAATGGTCAAATTGAAATTATTCAAGTTGCAATGGAAAGCTAACTCATAAGAATACAACTTTTATGAAGAGAAAATCTTAAATTTGAGATTAAAATGGTAAAAAATTATGGTAAATATGAATTAGTGAATCTATCAAAAAATAAAAAATAAAAAAAATTAGCAACTTCTAAAAATTATTCTAACATATTTCTTCATAATTCCTATATATATGTGTGTATATTCTTCCGAGAGAGGGGAGGGGGGGGGGGGGGGGGGGGGGGTACCAGATTTTATTTTTTAAACTTAAAATCCATCATTCAATCCTCATTAAATCCGCTATCAAATCTGATTGGACCCACACCCTATACAGCTGCGGATAAGATTTTTCAAATCCGTCTTAGCACTCCGCTCTGTGGATCCTCAAATCTGCTATGCCGCTTACCCCAACATCTTAGAGAGTCAAAGAATGATGTTTTTAATGATCTTGCTCATTTAAACAAACCAAGGCAAAAGAGGATCAAAAGATCAAGTCATTGCAATTTTCGCTCTTCTTGACCATTGTTTGGTATTTGGACTATATCTCTGCCTAGAAATATCCAAATGAAGTGATTCTTGTGCAATTGAAAAGACAACTCAAAGGGATAAAAATTTCAGGCAGATCATCAAGCCAAATTCTGACGTTAAAATGGTCAAAAACAGCGAGGAAGTGTTTCTGTTAACCGCACATCGCCCGTGCGCCACTACTTTCCAAAGGCATTTTTTGCACTATTTCGTGCACAGGCGCAGTCACACCCATGCCCTACCCTCTATTCATCTATTTAAAGCTCGTTTTCACCTATTTCTACGAGGTTTTTTACCCAACTTGAACCCTAGGTGGCTGAGGGCGATTTTCTTTCATTTCCTTTCATCATTTTAGCTTAGATTAGACTAGTTTTTCATTGGGGATCCATCTATCAAGCTTGTAACCATGGATTGGAGTCGAATTTCACCTCAACTTGGATATCTTCAATAGTTAAGCTTTCTTTTCTTTCTCTTTCATTTACTTTGTGTAATGTTCCTGTTAAATACTTGTGTTTTCTTTATGTATATGCCTCTTAGGTGTGAGTAATCCGTTTTGAGGTTTAGATTATGTCTATTTACCTCTAAATGCTATTTGTGTGATTATTTAAAGCTCGTTTTCACCTATTTCTACGATGTTTTTTTTACCCAATTTGAACCCTAGGTGGCTGATGGCGATTTTCTTTCATTTCCTTTCATCATTTTTGCTTAGATTATACTAGTTTTTCATTGGGGATCCATCTATCAAGCTTGTAACCATGGATTGGAGTTGGATTTCACCTCAACTTGGATATCTTCAATAGATAAGCTTTCTTTTCTCTCTCTTTCATTTACTTTGTGTAATGTTCCTGTTAAATACTTATGTTTCCTTTATGTATATGCCTCTTAGATGTGAGTAGTCCGTTTTGAGGGTTTGATTAGGTCTATTTACCTCTCTAAATGCTATTTGTGTGATTATTTAAAGCTCGTTTTCACCTATTTCTACGAGGTTTTTTACCCAATTTGAACCCTAGGTGGCTGAGGGCGATTTTCTTTCATTTCCTTTAATCATTTTTGCTTAGATTAGACTAGTTTTTCATTCGGGATTCATCTATCAAGCTTGTAACCATGGATTGGAGTTGGATTTCACCTCAACTTGGATATCTTCAATAGATAAGCTTTCTTTTCTCTCTCTTTCATTTACTTTGTGTAATGTTCCCTGTTAAATACTTGTGTTTCCTTTATGTATATGCCTCTTAGGTGTGAGTAGTCCATTTTGAGGGTTAAATTAGGTCTATTTACCTCTCTAAATGCTATTTGTGTAATTATTGCATAAAGGGAAGAATCCCAATCTAGGGTTCATTCTTGTGAAAAAGGTTGTGTTTGATATTGTTGATTCTTGGTGCGCAAAAAGGATTGGTTTGCCCTTAGAGAGTAAATCATCACAACAAAAGTTAGGTGAGGAACTCGAGCCTTTCTTTTCACAACCCAATTTTCACCCTCGAAAGTTGGGGGAAATTAGGACTTTGAATCCCAATTTAGGGTTCGTTCTTGTGAAAAAGGTTGCGTTTGATATTGTTGATTCTTGGTGCGCAATAAAGATTGTGCCCTTAGAGAGTAAATCATCACAACAAAAGTTGAGTGAGGAACTCGAGCCTTTCTTTTCACAACTCAATTTTCACCCTCGAAAGTTGGGGGAAATTAGGACTTTAGAATGCCTATGAGCTTAAGAGTTTAGAATTGAGGCATCAAGAAAGTGAGGTAATTCTTTGCTCTAATTGTAAAGATTGAAAGATCTTGAATTCTAACACGCATTTTGGTGAATCCTTAGTTGAAGATTCCTCCCTATTTCCTTGAAATTGAATTAACATTTAGAAGGTAATAGCCCTAATTTAATCCCCTTTCCCTTTTTATTATTCCTTCCAATATTTATTTCAAGTTAAGTGTGTTTACGTTGTGTTCTATTTGAATGTTATTATTCCATCCAATATTTATTTCAAGTTAAGTGTGTTTACACTTTACATTGCCTTCTATTTGAATGTCCACCATATAGAATATGATGTTGCTTGGATTTTTAAGAGTTCATTATCCTAGTGCCAGTGGTGAACTAATTATATAATGGCGAGCCTAACTCGCAAATTTCTTACAAAATGACAACTCTTAACCCATAATACTTATCATTAATTTTGATAGCGATCATTACGAAAAGTAGATGTTCCTAAATTCATTTCAATTCAATCAATTTCTCTTTAACACAAACATAGTGTGATCAAGCAATCAACGATCCCAAGACTTACATGAATGGCGCAACGGGAGTGAACCTTCTTGCTCCTCGAGGACTGACTTCCATAAGATGGCATATGACGATATACTAAAACAAGAAAGTAAAATCATTGCCTAGCTCAATTGGTTTCATAAGATATGTATAAGTTAAACAATTATTATGACTTCCATAAGAAGGCATATGATGATATACTAAAACAAGAAAGTTAAACCATTGCCTGCAAAGGCATATAAGTAGGTTCCATAAGATGTATATAAGTAAACAACTATTGCATATGACCATATACTAAAACAAGAAAGTAAAAGCATTGCCAAGCAAAGGCAGCTCGATTGGATCCTGACCGCCATAGTGTGTGAGTTACACTCAATGTGGTGTGTTATTTATAGGCATTGGTGGATATTTCCACTACTTCACTATTGGGTCAGAGCACTAGGGGGAAGAAATTTGGGAGCAAGAAAGTAAAAGCAGTTGCAAATCAAAAGGCTAATAAACAGAAGATTCGGATCAAAAGAGCCACAGAATAAAGTCAAACAAGCATGTAAAATATGATAGTCATCCTGAAATGGCTACTCAAATTTCAGATCAGTCTATGCTAATATAGCATGTACCCCTGACCGGGGAAGATGAGCAATGAGTTCAGAATTTGAACAAGCCGGAAGAAGCAGGAATGGGAAGAAGCTTTGGGAACAGAATCTGCCATGGAGTCATCAAAGGATCTGCAGCAGCATTACCAGAATCACCCACTCCAGTGTTCTTCATCACATCATTCAAGTACTTAAGCCTTTCACTCAATTCAACTTCCTGGGCTTTTAGAACACTCTTCTCAATAGCCATAACCTCATACTTCTTGCTGATATCATCTATCCTACCCACAATGGCACTATTTGCAGCCTGCAATCTCCCCACTTCCAGCGTCAACTCTTCCACGCGCTTCTGTTTCTTCATCCTTGACCTCCTCGCCGATTCCCGATTCGATATCATCCTCTTCCTCTTCTTCTCATCTATCCCTGCATATCTTTGATCATTCTCTGACCCAGAGCTGCTCCAACTCTGCCTCGTACCAGACATTTTCTCTACTTTTTCTTAAATTAAACTAAAACAGATTGAATTTCTAATGGGGTTTTTCCAGAGAAAAGGGAATCGGGGATGAAATTAAGATAGACTAGATTGTGATTCTCATGAAAACGTATAGAAATGATAAAGAAACACAACTGAGAAAGATTGAAGGAAACAAATGCCTACCATAGATTGAACTTTTACTAGAGAAACCCAGGATTCATTTGCAAAGACTCTGCAAAATCCCCAAAAAGATAACCAAAAACAAGCCAAAATGAAGTGATATCGGGAAATGGGTATGTGAAAAACACGCCAAAAACCAATCTTTATGCGGAGCAAAAGAACAAAATACCAAAGATCGAAAGTTTGGGAATTGAGAGAACTAAATGATGATGAATACGAGGAGGATTCAAGAGCGGACAAAGAAGCAACTTGAGGAAGCGATTAGGATAAAGACGTGAATTGTTCTTGTGAAGATGAAAAGAAGATTACGTTACTCAATTTTTAAACGGGTCCCGTTGGTGGGTTTGAAAGGGGGAGAAGAATGTTCTTGAGAGATGCCAGCTGGCCCAATCGGGATGCACATCCAACAGCTGTTTCAACTCTAGAGGATGATTATTCAGTGAATTATCACCATGATTTTCTAAAGATAATCTCAATCCCTCTTTATTCTTCATTGTTATTGTTATTTTAAACCCACAAATTAAGGTAAGGAGATTAAATTAATGGACATACCAATTTTGAAATCTTTTTTTTTGGGTATCCTTTTTCTTATTTATTTTGGTTTTGAAGCATGTGCTTCATCTCAACTAAAAATCTAAACTGATAGTTGGATTGCACATCTATATTTATATATACTAGTATTTGCACCCGTGCGATGCACGGAATGAATTTGTTGTAATATATTAATAATATATGAATTAATATATAATTATTTAAATTAGAACATCAAATATAATATAGTACAATTAAAGATATGATTTAGATCATTTATATATTTTGATGTTATCATTGCTTGAATTTGTGAAAATAATTGCTCAAATTAATAGCTATATTTAGATGTACGCATGCGGTGCTATATTTTGAAGATTTTATTTATCATTATTTAGTATTTTCATAAATTAGGCAAATGTGCTCGTTCTCTGGCAACTCAGTTATATAAATGAATTGCTATCATTATTCACTTGTATTTGGAAGATATATTTTTTTGTCAAGATATATAGCAATTTTTTCATTTAAAAAAAAAACTTAATATCACCGATTATATTTACACATTATTGAAACCTCTTTGTAGACGATATTGGTAGTGGCAACACAATATTGTTCATCTTCGTCTATAGCTAACACTTTCAATCCATCAAGACGGGTTACCTAGGTGAAAATATATAATGGTAGAATATCACTTAATTAGTTATGTGGTCCAATGGTATCCGGGTTGGACTTCCATTTGGAAGGTTGTAAGTTCGAGCCTCGGTGGAGGCGTTATTAGCTCTTTGTGTTTTAGTAGGTTGAGAAAGTATATGAACAGATACTACAATGTAATAGAGCTAGTAACATTCAAAAAAAAAAAAGTTATCATTTTATATTTTCAGTTAATTAGTAATATCAGATTCATTTTTAGTCAATTATTTTTTTTTTATATTTTTTCAGTCAATTAGTCAATTAGAATATCAAATGCAATGATATTTTTACCTAATTTTTGTTCCATTTTTGTTTGATGATGTAGATATTATTATTGAAATATTTCCATTCCATTTTTAATTTACCTTTACAATTGTTTAAAATATGCATTTACTATTGATAATGTAGAATATTATTATTGAAATATTTTCCTTCAATTTTTAATTAAAATGCAATGATCTGACCATTTCTTTATTTTATGTGTCAATTATGGATCATTTTTTATTTGCAATCAATTATTAATTAAAAACTAAAACAACACATACATTTTGAGTTAATCTTTTCCAAACCCCACTAATAATAAATAAATAATAAATAATAAAAAACTAAAAAAAAAAAAAAAAAGAAACAAAGCTAAAGTTTCTTAAATAAGAACATTTTGACTTCTCAATACTTGCCACATTGATGGACAAACAATTATGTTTGTATCTCTTATATAGAAGAGCTCAATAGCTCATCTTTTCAAACATTTTCAACGTGGGATCAAAATGATCTCACATCATTTACAAAGGGAGCCCGTGGCTCCCCTTTGTCTTCTTCGTCTTTTTTTTTTTTTTTTTTTTTTTTTTTTTAATTTTAATTTTATTTTGTATTTAGTTTTGTTTGGATTATTATTGTTATTAGTATTTTCACCCGTGCGATGCAGGGAATGAATTTGTTGTAATATATTAAGAATATTTGGATCGATATATAATTATTTAAATTATAAGATCAAATATTATATAGTGCAATTGAAAGTATGGTTTGGATCCTTTGTGTTTTTATGTTATCATTGCTTGAATTTGAGCAAATAATTGCTCAAATTAATAGCTAATGTGTAGATGTACGCATGCGGTGTTGTAGCTTTGGAGATTTTATTTATCATTGTTCAGTATTTTTATAAATTAGGCAAATGTGCTCGTTCTTTAGCAACTCAGTTATATGAATGAATTGATATCCTAATTCATTTGTATGAAAAATATATTTTTTGTCTAGATATATAGCAATTTTGCCATTAAAAAAACATAATATCACCGATTGTATTTACACATTATTGAAACATCTTTATAGACAACATTGGTAATAGCAACACAATCTTGTCCATCTTCGTCTAGAGCTAACACCTTCAGTCCATCAGGATGGTGACTCGGGTGAAAATATATAATGGTAGAATATTAGTCAATTAGTGATCCTTTTATATTTTAAGTCAATTAGTAATATCATATTCATTTTAGCCAATTATTCTTTTTTATTTTCAGTCAATTAGACTATTAGATGCAGTGATATTTTTACCTAATTTCCGTTCCATTTTTAAATGATGTATAATATTTTTATTGAAATATTTCTGTTATATTTTTAATTTACCTTTATATTGTTTAAACTTTAAAATATGCATTTCCTATTGATGATGTAGAATAATATTGAAATATTTTCGTCTAATTTTTAATTTTTGTTCTTTTTTTTTTTAATTAAAATGCAATGATCATGACAATTTTTTTTTTTATTCTAGTCAATTAGTCAATTAGAAATATTATTGTTACCAATTAAGCTTTATTAATTTTTTTTACTATTTAATTAATATTCATATTAATTTGGGAGGGAATGTTGAAAATGAGGATTTTACTTTTATTAATAGTATAGATAGATTAATTTCAATTTTAAATCATTGGTTCACATATTTGAATTATTTATTTTTTTCATTAATTATTTGCATGATAAACATAAATGATATTGCAATAATTAATTTATGATATTTATCAAAGTGTATCTTTTTTAAAATATAAAACTTTCACATGTTTATGGGTTGAAAAAATTTTAAATTATTTTTGTTTTAAAATATTTTCCAGCAACCAAAACGCTCCATTAATCTCCCATCAAAAACTGATAAAGAAAAATTATTTTATTAAGAAAATTAAAACTAATTAAATTAAATATAATCATGATATATTTATTTGTAACTGTATATTAATTTTATTTTGAAATCATTGGTTCACATATTTGAATTATTTATTTTTTCTTTAATTATTCTCATTGTAAACATAAATGATATTGCAATAATTAATTTATGATATTGATCAAATTGTATCTTTTTTTAAAATATAAATTTTTCTCATGTTTAGGAGTTAAATAATATTTTAAAATTATTTTGAATACATATTATACATTAAGTATATATATATATATATATATATATATATATATATATATATATATATATATATATATACACACACACACACACACACACACACACACACACACATACACACACACACACTTTTAATTCTATATTGATAAGCATAGTCCGTGTATATACTTTAAGAAAATATTCATTATTGAAAATGAGATATAATTTAAAAAGTAAATTATTAATTAGATTACCTAATATAATTGTCCAACTAATTGATTCAATGCTACTATGTATAATTCATATATTTGAACACTTGTTAAAGCTAAATACCTATTAATTGTCTTAATAATAATTAAGATAATATTTAGTCAATCAATATTCAATAGTACTAAAAGTATTACTTTGAATTTTTATAAATAAGATATAATATTATTAAACCAAAATAGTTAAAAATATGTGTCCATAATAAAAAAAGATTTTATAATAGTAATTTTTATTGCCTAATAGAATTTGTCAATTATTAAACATTATTTATGGAAGATTTTACTTTTATTAATAGTATAGATATAGAGTGGTGTAAATAATAATTAATAAGTTATTATTTCCTTATAAAATTAAACCAAAATTATAGTATAGATATAGATTGATGTAAATTATTATTTCCTTATAATATCACTGGCTTGAATTACACATTATTAAAAATCTCTTTTTAGATGACATTGGTAGTAGTAACAGAATTTTGTTCATCCTCGTATAGAGTTAAAACCTTCAGGCCATCAGGATGGGTGACTCGGAAAAAAGTCACGTACAATTGATCGTGATTAAAGATTAATTTTTTAAGTAATAACCCAACGTGAGTTAGTGTTTGGCCCTGACTTTTGGTTGACAGTCATGGTATATGCGAGCATCAACAGGAATTGTTTATGCTAGAACTTGAAGGACAATCTCGTATCAAAAGGGGTAAGAGACATTTTAATGGAAGATTTTACTTTTATTAATAGTATAGATATAGATTGGTGTAAATTATTATTTACTTTTATTAAATTAATAGTATAGATGGATTAATTTCATTTTGAAATCATTGCTTCACATATTTGAATTATTTATTTTTTCTTCAATTATTATAAACAAAAATGATATTGTACTAATTAATTTATGATATTTATCAATTTGTATTTTTTTTAAAAAAATATAAGATTTACACATGTTATTAAGGGTTAAAAATATTTTAAAATTATTTATTATTATTAAGTATTTTTATTTTTAAAATATTTTCCGGCAACACAAACACTCCTATCAAAAACTGATAAAGAAAAGTCATTTCATTAAAAAAATTAAAACTAATTAAAGTAAATCTAATCATGCTATATTTGTTTGTAATTGTATATTAATTTCATTTTGAAATCATTGGTTCACATATTTTGATTATTTATTTTTTTCTTTAATTATTATAAACAGAAATGACTTTGTACCAATTTATGACATTTATCCAATTGTATTTTTTAAAAATATAGTGTTTTACTCGTTCGTTGCACGAAAAATTTTTGTTATTAAGAATTTAAAATTGAAAATAGACAAAAATGATGAAAAGACGTTAAACTGTACAATATAATAATATAGTTAGACTTTTACATATTTGACAAGTATCTATTTTCATAACATACAAAATTTAAATTTTGTATGGTTAAT